CGGGGAGGGAGGGGAAAAATGAGGACCTAATGTCAGGGGTTTAAATGGAGAGAAAATGTTTTGAGAAATGATGTACAAATACGCTTTACACAATTGATTTGTGTATGGATTGGGATAACAGTTGTATGAGCCCCTAATAAAATGTTTAAAAAAAGAAGAAACCGATTAATAAAGGAAAACAAAAATTACTCTAAGAGCCGTGTCATGGGTAAAAAGGAACTAACATTGCCCCTAACTGTGAATAATAATTTATATTTTATTAATGTTAATATTTTGTAGATGGGGAAGCAGTCTTGGGATGAGATAAAGTAATTTTTCTAAGATCACATAGGTGGGGCAATGACAGACTTCAAATACAAAGACTATGAAAACACTATACTGACTTACTTCCCAAAATGTCTAGGCTCCTAACCAAATGTTGGTTTCTGCGCTTGCTACAGTCGAAAAAGAAAAAAATGCTTTTTACTGGCCTAGAAAAATTTTATATTTATATGCACTAGTAGTCATCGAGGCCATTCTGATTCATGCAACCCACGTGCTGCAGAGCAGAAGTACACTCCACAGCGTTTCCATGCCTGTGGCCTTTTGGAAGCAGGTCTTTTTCTAAAGTGCCTCTGGGTGGGTTCAAAACAGCAGCCTTTCAGGTAGTAGCTGAAAGCTTAACTAATTGAGCCATGCAGAGGCTCTTTTATATTTATAAGCCTTAAAATATATTAAGATTAAAACCTTTCTGGATACCATTGCAAGAATGATGGCTTAGCTAAGATGAAAAAGTGTATCCCTCTACGGAGCTAGAGAAACCTGTTTTTAAACTTAAGAAAACGGTTTTTGAACAGTGGGAGTGAAGGTGTTTAAGGATAATACAACTATTTGCTTTATTTTTTCCTTAACCCATATATATATATAAATATGAACAAATGGATAATATACCCACAGTTAAACTCCTCGTAGGGCCAACAAAGCAACTTTTGGAATCTGCAAATTTATAGCAGCAATTGTGGAAACTTTCAAACATACACTGACTAAAGAATAGTGGTTTCAAAATCAGCTTCAACTATTCTCAATATTTTCTAGTCTTGTCTCAGGCATCCCCTAGATTTTCCTGTCTTATATTGCTGGAGTATTTTAAAGAAAATTCCGTGCATCATATCCTTTTATACACACACACTGACAGCAACAGGAGGGGAAGCCTCAACGGAGAATCTGAGGCAGGATGAAATTTCTCAAGTTAAGCCATGGCCAGAATATGCCCTTTAAAGTCATACTTTCATTGACTTTAAAAAGGATCTTTAGCCAGTTAATGTCTTGGAAGTAGGTAAGCACACTAAACATTTATGATGGAATCACACAGCATGGCATAGAAGAAACACTGGATGAACTGGGAATTGGGAAATTACACGATTCACGTTCTTACTCTGCCATTAATAAAATTTACGGCAAGTCATTTTAAAAGAAGAACCTCTGTTTCATCTCTAAAACAATAAATAAAATTACATTTTTTAAAAAGAGACCAAGCTTACTGGTTGGACAGATTGGTGGGACTCCTGAGACGATGGCTCTTACCTTCATGTCTGGAATTGAACCCACCTCTGTAGGAGAACAACCCACTAAGAGCAGTAGGGCAACACTTACCCAAGGGCAACGATCAGAGGGTTAGGAAGGGAGGAAAGGAAACAGAAAACACAGGCAGGAGGTAGTTTAAGTGATGCTACAATGAAGGGATTGCAATCAGCGAGTTGACATCAAATGTGTATGTACTCTTAAATGTGAAACTGATGCTCTAATCGCAGAATAAATAACTTATTTACACTAGTAGTGCTGTAGGGTAAATGTTGCACCCCTCAAGCCAGATTGAGGGTTCAAATACACCAGTTATGCTGAGGAGAAGGATGAGGTTTTCTGTGAATCTCGTAAAGATTCACAAAGCCTTGGAAACCCTTTAGAGGATGCCTGTGCATCAAAATGGACTCAATGGCAATGGGAGGTAGTAGTTTAGGACTCTTTTGAGTCTTGTTTTTGTTTGCTGTACTTACATAATTTAATTGTTCGATCATATTACGTTTTGGCAATCACCACTACAGTTTCATTGGGATTGTCATTAATAAAAGGAGTCCAACCTTAAAAGAATAGCTGCTGAAACTGCTTATACACAACCAAACTTTATGGGATCTAGTTACTTGATTTAAAAGATTAGGGTCACTGTTTCATGAGTCATCCCAGTAAGAGGACAAATAACTTGTTTAGTGCTTCTGTTCTATTTCCTACTTCATTAAGTAGTGCTTGGAGTCTTAAAAGCTTACACATGGCCATCTAAGGCACAAGTATTCTTAATTCACCTGTAGCAACAAAGCAAGAGGAGTCTGGAACAGGAAGATAAAGTGTTTGTGTCTGAATTGCCTCCTTTGCCTCGAGACTAGAGCTAAATGGTGCTCAGCTAAAAAGGGGGAAATTCCCTGAGGTCATCTTGAAATCTTAAACCAAAATTATCGCCCACTGTCTTCATAAATGAAAACAATAATTTAGCTTACCTAGTACAGAAGGCCCACCTTGAACACTATGCTTAATTCTTTTACAATCTATGTATATGCGATCAAATTGCAAACAGCAACTTCAAGGATTAGACAGCAACTCAAGGAGTAGTGATTATGCTAACAGAGGAGGAAGGTGGAAGAGGAGGGTGAGGGTGGCTGCACAACTTGAGGAAGATGATTACTGTCACTGAATTGGATACATCTATGGATACGTGTATGGATACACAGAAACCGCTGAACTGGGCTCTGTCCTGCTGGGTCTACCCCAGCAACAACAAAAATAAAATAAACCCTATCTTTTAAAAAAGGAGTTCAACATGTATCAACCTTAAAAACACTGTTGGCAACAATTATGCTGTTTGAAAAGCACTTAATCGTTCAAATACAAATGATTGTTATCACAAGGGGAAATAACTAGAAAACAATAAAACTAGAAAAAAATAACTTATTGAGATGGCTAGATTCCAAACACCCAGTTATGTGAAAATTGGCAATATGTGAGAATGAAGGATAGCCACATTAGATTAAAAAATAAAGGATGACTACACCATTACATAACTGCTAAATTACATCATTATATAACTGTTGAACCACTGAGACTCATGGCCCAGCCAAGTGGATACATGTAAAACTTTAAGCATCATAGCCTAGCTCTCACAGCACATTGGTGTTCCTTAAGGCTAGGAATACTACTGCTGGAAATGAGAAAGGCCAGTAAATGAAACAGTTGATAAGTGGGGAGGAAGTGAATATACAGAAGGTGGTTAAAGCTGCTGGTTCTGGGCTTGGGATATAAGGAAAAGGATTGATATGCTGTAATCTGGCTAATGGCTTCCTGTCTAGACACTGTATGAGCTTAGCCAAGAGGGACATCTCAGAGTGACTACAATTTTGACTTGACATTATCACACAAGCAGCTATTACTAATGATCACATGCTAATGCTGGCTATGAAACGTACGGGAAGTGCGGAGGGGCGAAAGAAGACTTGATGGCTCCAGCATAGATGGCCAAGATGGACACTATGACACAGGCCAGGAAGAGTGAGGCAAACTTGTTCACATAGCGTACGCCGATGAACACCACCAGAACCATGAGGACCAAGAAGGCTGTGCCATAAACACGCATGTTATTTAGCATTGCAGCCGATTCCTTGAGCGCATCATCACTGCGAAAGATGGCAGCCCGGGGGACAATATATACCTGTTAGGGCAAAAGGAAAGAGGTCATTTCAAAGTCATCAAGCCACAGGGTACTGTAATTTGCATGTGTTTTCACAAAGGAAAGTGACGAGGAGACAGAAATAACTGCAGACTTTCTTAACCCAATTCCTATTTGGGAAGATCTGGAATGCCTTCAGACACTTAATAAAGAATTTATGCTCTGTTTGTCTCCATGCTGTTACGAACACCAACATTTCCAAATAGAAAACACAAAAACAAAAGAAATGAATGCACAAATAATTTCTATTCCAAAGACTATACAAAAAATTTTATTATCCTGAGCTCTGTTATTCTGTTATTACTTGAAATAAAAAAAAAACACATTGCAGTGAGTAAATATTTAAAAAATTCACTTCATTGGGGAAAAATACACAAGAAAACAAATGCCACCAGGGCAAATCTTGCCTCTCAGTCTTTAACTTCTTGGTTACAGTGCTCGAGAGGTGGTGATTGGGTGCAGGGGAATAGGCAGGAATCAAAGTACACCCTCAAGGTTTGTGCTTCTTTACAAAACTGACACACAGGAGATCAGTAATAGTCAATTACCCAATTTATTCCTAGAGCTGATCTCAGAAGCTTTACTATCAAATAACATATTAAACTCAAATCTCTTCCTTTTCATTGAATATACAGACCATAATCAAGTCATTACTCACAAGAAAAATTTCAATGGCACCAAGAATATACATGGCTGCTGCAAATGTGGTACCAAGATAAAAGCAGAGGCCAACAGCCCCGCCAAACTCTGGGCCCAGTGCCCGGGATATCATGAAGTATGAGCCCCCAGCTGAAAGACAAAACAGACAGGTGGATGGATAAAAAGAGCATATTAATAAGAAGAATGTGAACAACTAATAAATAAGAATAAAAATATGCATGATGGATAAATACATTTCAGTGTTTTGAAAATAGTGAATATGATTTTTTTAAAAGGGGATAAATTTGTCGGTGGGAAATAAACAGAAAGTCTTTTCAGTGGGATACACAGCATTGATAGTATCCACAATTTTCTACTACTACTTAGAAAAAAACCTATTAGATAATTTATTATACACGAGAAAAACTATTAGATAATTTATTATACACGAGAATCCAATAAAACATAAGTCAATAAAACATGTTTTATGTGACTTGAAATTAAACCATTCTAGTAAGAGATCTAAAAGAAGGTATTCTAAAGTCAAATAGTATTAATGTCTACTGCCTTCAGTTAATTATTCTGTAGCAACATAAGAATAAATCCATTCTATTCCTTGAAAGTTTGCATATGACTTTAGAGCATACATGCGCAGTAATCACTGATGATTCCTACCATTCAGCATTAGCCTACTGACCTGGCACCACTCCATTGGTAGCAATGGCACTCATGGAGATAGCAGTCAATACTGTCTGTAGAGAAACGGAAAGGAAAACGAGGGTTACTGCATAAATATGACATCGCTAGGCTACTTTCTCATCTGTGACCTCAGAGCACTTATGAAATATCAAATCTACCCCTTTTACAGAGGAGTTGTCTGTCAACCTAACACTTTGGAAATGATATGACATGAACTAACTCACTGCACTAGACACCACTACTATCAACCTGTGTAGGATGTCCAAATGCCCCTACCTCTAGTGAGTTAGGTGCTTTAAGAACCACTGATCTACCCCGAGATCTCCTACTTGAATAGAAAACAAAACATAACATGCTTAAAGGGAATAACTAGGCAAAAGACAAATAAACAAAACCATAAAGTAGATCAAAACCTGACTAAAAAGTGGCTACAAGGGAGGGATGGTAGGGGAGGGAGGGGAAAAAAAAGAGAAGCTGATATCAAGGGCTTGAGTAGAAAAAACTGTTTTGAAAATGATGATGGCAACAAATGTACAAATGTGCTTGACACAATGGATGGGAGTGTGTGTGGTGGTAAGAGTTGTACAAGTACCCAATAAAATTATTTGTAAAAAACACTGGCTATAAAACCTAAAGCAATATTTAATAAGAAAGGTAACTCCAAAAAACATTACCCGGTAGCAGAGTACAAGATGGACTACAGACAGGACGCAGCTGAAGGCAAAATGGCTGGTTAGTAGACTAGGATAGCAGTTTAGTGTGAGTAAGAATATAGTGGTGGTAGTGAGAAGTTCAGGGGGTTCAGAGGAAGACTTGATGGACCTTGGTGGCTGATTAGATGTGAAAGGTAGTAGGGGAGCCATAGATGGCCTTAGGTCTCAAGCTGGAGAAACTGGGTTCCATGGTGGCCCCATTGAAGTTATCTACACTGTGGACGGACTGCCTGCTCTACATAGTACTCAGCTGAGCACAATGCACAGCGAGGGCACAGTGCGGATGATAACAAGAGGTCAGGGGCAGTGAAATGCATAATCATCTTGAGACATGTGGCCAGGATGTGTAGAGAGAAGTTTAAGTTAAAGAAAGGTCCATGTATTCTCAGTATAGCAGAGAGAAGATCTGGATTTCCACCTACATTTCCAGAAAAAGGTTAACAAACAAAAAAAAAACCCTTCAAAACAAAATACTTTTCAACCCTAAGAAACAATTTCAGAGAGTTTTTTTTCTCAATTCTATATTGAATACAACTAAACTTTTACCTCATTTCCTGTCACAACTTTGGGGTTACCAAAGTTCGAATGGTTTAGGTTCTAAATTCTTTGAAGAAAGACCCTGTACTTTCTACTTTCTGTGTTGTCTTCCTTTGCAGTTTCTAGACCATCCTATCAAAGGCAGCAAGCAGTGAACGACAGATACCAAAAAACAAACAAAAAACCCAAACTGGAAAATCCTTTAGATTTTGATATTCATCTCTCTGGTTGAGATCCTAAGTTTGTCCCTCAGTATTCTATTTTTAATTCCGAGCGAGGACCAGGTCCAGTGGTGGGTTCTGCATGTGTTCATTCTCGAGAGTTCCCAACATTCTCGATGATCTCCGGGAGCCAAAGCTGGACTTACACAGCAGCAGCAGATGAGGACAATTGCAAAGGCCTGAAGAATCCCAGCGGTGCCCACCACCCAGGTGAGGCGCAGAAACAGGATCACTCCAAAAATATTCTGTAGACATGGGAGGTAGACCCCCATGAAGGTGCCCATCTGGGGGCTCTGTGGAGAAAGATGTTGACAGAGAAAAATTATACAGTCAACTAGAAGAGATGCTTTTCTCTCTCTAACTACCTCTTAATCTCACATCAGAAACAGAGTTTACGCAGTGTCCTCTGAAAAGAAGCACAATTACAATCCCCACCTTATAAATCACTGTCCCTGCATCTTTACTTATTCCCAGAGCCACACATTTTACTTTCATAAAGTTATTTACACATCTTTATTATACACATTTAGTCACAGTCGGCCTTCAACAAAATTTGACTTTCAAACTGTTAGCTTACTCTTCAAACACATAATTAATTTTAAAATGGGCTAGTAATTTAATGGAATCGCTAAGAATTTGGCATACATTCTTAAGAGTAACTGGTAAAGTGAAGATTGTTTTACCCCTTCTCAGAGTTGAACCACCAGAAGGCTAAACTGTATATTGTTCCATATTTTCATTTTGTGAAACACTGGCATTTGATCTTTTAAAAATCCCAACACTTCCCTAACAGACAGATGGCATCTGCTAGTGAGACAGATGGACGTGGACTCTTGAGGAGCTGCTCCCTTTCCCTGGAATGCTCTTCTCCCAGTGGTACACAGCTCACTCCCTCGCATGATTTCTCTGCTCAAATATCACCTTGCCAGAAGAGCCTTCCTCGCGAGTCCATCTAAAATAAGAATTCCTTCCCCTGCTACCCCTTTCCCCCTCCATCCCTTGCTGCCAGTCTCAGTCTTTCACCCTGCTTGCAGTCACCACCTGCAACACTTTCTATATTTTGCTTAACGACTATCTCCCCACACTAGAATGTATACTGTATGACTGCCAAGATTTCTTATGTTCTGTTTAGGCTACGATTCTAATGCCTAGAACAGCACCTGACATGTGATAAGCACGAACTAACTACTGAGCATAAAACAATGATGCTCTGGATATCTCTCTATTTCTTAGGTAGAGGCTCTTTTTATTTATCCTTGTTATCCTGAGGTATCACCTTGGTAGGCTTTTTTTTCCCTTCAGCAATGTTCTCTGCCTCTTCATGTTCCTTTGCTCCTTGCGTCAGATTTGTGTAATTGGCCATGCGATTGAGAAGAGAAGACACCTTTGGTCTGGTGTCCATTTCTTCCTAGAAAGCCGAAAACATGGAAGAAATGAGTGAGGAAGAACTGTGAAGGTAATCATCAAAATAGTCTCACTACCCAAAAACTGCAAAGTAAAAGAGAATATTCATCACAGCTAAATACTTTAAGAAAAGTTATCAATGGGACTTTATTCACCTGCAAAAGTAACAATCACAGTTAGTGCAGTGAGTCCTTATACAATCCTAGGTGAGACGGTTCATCATTCTAGCAGTCATGCAACTTCCTTACCAGCTGAGTTGGATCTGATGCACAGAACTCGCCCAAGGTTGTAAATCTTCACCGCATCAAAAAGCCTCATTTTTCTGCCTCAGAACAACTGTTGCTTTCACACTGAATTACTGTCCCTTACTATGGCCTTTCAGCTGTGGTTCCTTCTACGATATATTGTGGTCCTGGACAATTTTCTACTGTGCTGGTGGACAAAAGTGGGGTGGGATTGAAACCTGACCTTGGTGGAAGTTGTGGGCTGAGCCCCACCCTGTTTTCTTAAGAGTATCTTTAGACCCAATTTTACTTAGTAGAGGGTGTGAACCACGCCACACCCTTGGTTTTCTTGGGGGCATCCTTGACTTTACTTTGGTAGAGGGTGTGTGTGACTTAGGATACCATCTTTTGTAAGACTGATTCCTAGGCTTAACACACATCACCTATCTAGAAAGCCAGACCTGTATTTCCTGACTGAGCTTTGGTAGAAGAAAAACGACAAGATGTGGTTTTTGGACATTTCCTGGCTTCTGGCTCTGGACCCTGCATTTGTCTTGCCCTTGCCTGACCTTGGGATTTTGGACTGAACAGCACCCTCCACCAAAAGGCATCCTCACTTTTGTGAGAACTATGGGATGTTGCCCAAACCACAGAACCCAGGGATGTGAGGGCATACACTCAAAAAAGAGAAGGGAAAATGTAGAAGAGCATCTTGGAAGAGTTGGACATTTGGGACAGCTTCAATCTCCAACACCTTGGAACTGGTCTAGTTTTAATTCTTACAAAAGAAATTATTACCACACACAATAATTTGTATTATTACAAAAGGTTGTAACCTAGGAAGGAACATTGGCAATGTGACTCCCCTTAACCATAATTCTCCTTTTTATTTTTCAGGCCACTAATACTTATGGCTATTTATATCAACAAGTCAGGGCAAGTCAGGAAAAACTGATGGAACTACACACTCACCTCAGAACTTTACTTGGAATAAGGTCAGAGAAAAGATATTAAAAATAGGCACACTGAAAGGAAGATATTTGGATCATTTTCTAAAGTCAGCCAAAAGTAACACTGGATTAAACCAGGCTCCTTTTAATATTCTGGCCACAGACTCCCTCAGAGTCCTTGCTGTTTGAATCAGATGAAACACAGATCTTCTTGATCTAATAGCCTGCTTCTTCCAGTGATTTGCTTTGTAATATTAAGTAATAGTCTTCCCAACCACAGCGTTAAGATATACATTGCTTTAAACTTAAAAGATCATTTTATGGTAAGCATTGAATTCCTCACTGAATTAGACTGCAAATGCTCCGTGCACCTGAGATGTGGCCATTCCTTTTCATTTCAGAGAAGTGTGATATACTGACTTACTCATTACAGTTAGCTTGTCCAGATAAAATGAACTACAATGACAAGTGATAAAAAACGACACTTCATTTTAACTATTAGTTACTACGTTTCCAGCGTATAGGGTTTAAAATGAAAGATGTAGGAAACAGGGATCGTGATCTCTATTCCTGAAATCCTTGTCCCAAACATTACCTCAAATAGCGCCAAATTTTTGTCAAAATATTCATCTCCTTCTTCATAATTGGCATTATTGAGGTAAGCATTTCGAGCTTTCTTGTGTCCATCATCTGGTGGGGGAAAATGAAGCCAAGTTAGTGTCTTATTAGCATCAAGACCAAATAACTATGTTGTCTGTAGAACAGAACTCATTGCTATATATCCAAGTTTCATATGAAGAGTGCGAAACCTCAGCCAGCATTTCACGGAGAATGTGACTTCCTCTAACATCAAACACAGGTTACTCCTTTTCTTAACAATTCACAGACCTTTGGTGCCTACATGCTTCCAGGATTCTAGTCCAGACTGAGCCCACAATGAAAGCCACTCCAACACGGGATGCAAGCCACCGATGATCCACGATGCTGTGTTCAATACGCCACTCTCTGTGGTTGACAATAGCAGTGTGCACTCTGCCTCCAGAGTTCCGTGACTTTGACCCGTCAGAAATAATGCCTCTGAGCCTTCATAAGTAACTTCAAGCCAATGAACTGACTATTATTTTTGTACAAACTCTTGTCACCATTTTTAAAAAGAGGCACCCTCTTTTAAAATATGGTGAATATGGTGAACCGCTAAGAAAAAAGAATAATAGAAGGATTAGGTTCCCCAAGACAAGAGCACCTCAATCTTGGTTCTTTCTCACGTACACGAAGACCTCAAAGATAGACTGCGGTGCAGTTCCAGACCAGCACAACACAGGAATGTTGCCATGAAGTATGAGCCACAACTCTTTCGGTTTCTCAGTCCAGATAAAAGCTAAGTTTACGCTACACTGCAGTTTGTTGCCGAACACTTATGACAATTACCAAAATGTGACAGAGACACAAAGTGAGCGAGCACCTGCTGTTGCAAAAATGGTGCTGGTAGACCTGGCAGATGCAAGGCTACTGCACATCTTCAATTTGCAAAATAAATAATGAAAAAATATTTGCAAATCACAATAAAAATGCAGTATAAAGAGTGAAGGAAAAATACATAAATGCCAATAAGAACTAATATTTCATATTCAGAAAATGGATGCCAATATTCTTTAAAAAATCCCAAAGTTAATGTAAAAAGTCTATAACCGTGAATGCAAAAGAGGATCTTAGGAAGTCTTGTTGCACCAGCAAGTTAACAAATTATCAAAGTACTGTCAAACACAAGAGCCAATTGAAAAGGTTCTCAATGGCTAACAATCATGTAATATGAGCATTAAAAAGATAATGCAATGGTTTGAAAGGTAAATTCATGAAATATCTCTAATGACATTGAAAAAATTAGTCACCTTTGGAAGCACTAAGGTAACAGTGCTTAATCCTAAAATATAATAAATGAAAAAGAACAAAGCAGTTATTGCCTCTCCTATATAAGCTAAAATTCAGGGTAGCTGAACAATTGGTAAAGTTCTTCATTAGAGACATGAAATAGATTTGAGAAATAAACCATTTTGCAATTTCCAATAACAAGTGGTGCAGTGGTTAAGTACTCGGCTGCTAACCTAAAGGCTGCTGGCTGTTCACCAACAGCTTCATCTCCGCGGCAGCTCTCAGTTCTGCTCGGTCCTACGGGGTCTCTAGGAGGCAGAACCTACTCAGCAGCACCCGCGGTAAGATCACGCATCTGGGCAATGGTCATCAGGGACAGATGACGTCACTGGGTAAAAGGCTGAGGCAAAACTTGATAAAGGATGCATCTATCTGATTCAGAAACAACCAATAGTTCTCAATATCACTAACATATCTTCTACATAATGAAAAGTACATTGTGCCAACTATGATGTACAGTGAACCCTCGCCACTTCGCGCTTCGACTTCCGCGGCTTCACTCTATCGCGGTTTTTGCGTAACAGCGCATGCTCTGTCATTACTGCCACTGATTGGCTCATACTGTACACGCTTCTGTCTACATCGCTACGTATCGGAGCTACGTATCAGATGCATTTTTGCTTTTGTACAGTGTACTGTAATTGTTTGCGATTTTTAAGAAATTTTATCTAAGCCCTATGATGGCTCCTAAACGAGCTGCTTCTTCTAAGCCTTCTGACAATAAAAATAAGCGCCAGAGGAAGATGCTCACCATCCAGGAAAAGGTAAAACTTTTGGATATGATCAAAGATGGCAAGAAAATCGTGGAGGTTGCACGCCATTTCGACTTGAATGAGTCTTCCGTTCGCTCCATCCATTGTACTTCATAATAAATAATAAATGATAATTGTAACGTCCAAAATGTTTTACTGCATTTTCCCTTTTTCGTTTAATAAATTGGGTAATACGAATGTAATGATGACTAAAGGGTGTTTTTTCATGCCTCTATGCTCTAACTACGAAAATATTTGATTTACAAATAAGGAATCCTACTTCGCGGAATTTCATTTATCACGGTAGGATCTAGAACCGATTAACCGCGATAAACGAGGGTTCACTGTATTCTTTCCAAAAGTACTGAAGTTGAATTTAATCAAGCCTCTAAATTTAATATCCAACTCTCTCTCTCTCTTACACACACACACACACACCAAAACAAAATATAGAGGAGGAACATGTGTACACATCATCACAAGGATATAATTATCAAATCCAGACTGAGAAAAAGCCTACACAACAACCAGAAAGATGGCATAAACTAAGAGTTGAACAGTTACAGTGTAAAAGAAATAAGGTGAATTAATCAACTGCAAGATGTTAATCTCATTAGGGTTATGATTCCAACATATGATATCTGAAATTTCCTTTAGGATAGTTCAAAAAAGTAAAGGCAGGGAATTTGAAAAAGGAGGATGCATTCCAGGTAGAACCATTGATGTGTTAGTACATCGGCTCTCTGAGACGAAAGAAAAAAGGCCTGGATTACAGTATTTGCCAATTTCAAGCTGACGTGCAGCCGCTGGTCATAGCACTGGGAAGCACGCCCACAGTGGCTCTTTGTGGGCCGGCTCCAGAACACCCCTGGCATAGAGCAGTCAGGAAAGACCTGAATTTCAGGTACAAGGAAGAGCATTTTTTTAAAGATCATGAAATAGGGAAAGAAACTTGGTGAATTCATAAAAAAGCTAACCTAACATGACTGAAATGGAGAGCAAAAGAGAATATGCTTTGAAAGGTAGTAAGGTGACATGGGCTTGTTGTTAGAGGCCATTGAGTCAGTCTAACTCACAGTGACCCCATGTACAACAAAGCAACACAACGTCCCATCCTGAGCTAGTCTCACAAGTTCTACTTTTAAGCCTATTGCGGCAGCTACTATGTCAATCTATTCCATTAAGCATCTCCCTTTGTTTCACGGAACCAAGTATGATGCTCTTCTTTAGGGGCTGGTACCTCCTGATAACATGTCTAAAGTACAAGAGATAAAGTCTTGCCATTCTTGCTCTTAAGAAGCATTCCGATCTCCTCACAGAAGGGTCACAAGGAAGGGATGAGCCAGCCAGGGTGCAGTGTAGCACCAACAACCATACAACATTCCTCTAATTTTTTAATGCCCCCCCCCCATACTACCATTACCCCAGTTCTACCTTACAAATCTGGCTAGACCAGAGCACGTACACTGGTACAGATAAGAGCTAATGAGACACGGGACCCAGGACAGAAAAACCCCTCTCAGGAACAGTCATGGAAGTAGCAATACCACGAGGGTAGGGGGAAGGTGGGTGGAGAAGGGTGAGGGGAGAAATGGGAACCGATTGCAATGATTGACGTACAACACCCTCCACCCCCTGCCCCAGGGGGATGAACAACAGAAATGTGGGTGAAGGAAGGGAGACAGCGGATGGTGTATGATGTGAAAATAAAAGTAATTTATCTCCCCACCCCCACTATCATGACCCAAAGTCTACCTTGTAAGTCTGGCTAGACCAGAGGATGTACACTGGTACAGATAGGAACTGGAAACACAGGGAATACAGGGCGGATGATCCCTTCAGGCCCAGTGCAGAGAGTGGTGATACTGAGAGGGTGGAGGGAGAGTGGGTTGGAAAGAGGGAATCTTTTACAAGGAACTATATGTGACCCCTTCCCTGGGGGACCGACAACAGAAAAGTGGGTGAAGGGAGACATTGGACAGGGCAAGATATGACAAAATAATAATTGATATATTATCAAGGGCTCATGAGGGAGGGGTGGAGCGGGGAGGGAGGGGGAAAATGAGGACCTGATGCTGGGGGCTTAAGTGGAGAGGAAATGTTTTGAGAATTATGAGGGCAATGAATGTGCAAGTGTGCTTTGCACAATTGATGTATGTATGGATTGTGATAAGAGTTGTATGAGCCCCTAATAAAATGATTTTTTACAAATAGTAATAATTTATCAATTATCCAGGGTTCACGAGAGTGGGAGGGTGGAAAAAAGGAGGAGCTGATACCAAGGGCTCAAGTAAAACGAAAATGTTTTGGAAATGATGGCAACATATACAAATGTGCTTGATACAATTGAAGTATGGAAAGTTATAAGAGCTGTAACAGCCCCCCGCCCCCAAAATGATTTAAAATAAAATGAAATAAAAATTTAAAAAATTAAACAAACAAAAGGAAACATTCTGAATGCATTTATCCCAAGACGATTTGTACATTTTTTGGCAGTCCTTGATACATTCAATATTCGTCACCAATTCAGAGATATAAATCTGGTTCTTCCTTACTTGTTGCCCAGCTTTCACATATCTAAGAGGTGACTGAAAATACCATGGCTGGGGCCAGGTACATCTTAGTCTGAAAGAGGGCAACTTTGCTCTTTAATACTTTAAAAAGGGCTATCGTGGCAGATTTAGCCAATGCAATAAACATCGTTTGATTTCTTCATTGCTGCTTCCATAAATATTGCTTGAGGCCCAAGTAAATTAACATCCTTGGCAACTTCAATCTTTTTTGTTTATCCTGTATTGTTTATTGGTCCAGTTGTAAAGATTTTTGTTTTCTTTTGAAAATAATTTTATTAGGAGATCTTACATATATCATAACATTCCATAGTTCAATCATATCAAGCAGTAGTGTACAAGTGCTACCACAATCAGTTTCAAAACTTCTTCAATAATTATTTTTAAGCATGGATGAGAAGGTGGGGAGCAGTAAGACTAAATTAATGGGAATGGAGCA